CCTGCGCGTCCGGAGCCTGTGCTCCGCAACGGGAGAGGCCATAGCAGTGAGAGGCCCGCGTACCGCAAAAAAAAAAAAAAAAAAAAGTCCTATTTAAGTTCTTACTATAACTCTCAAAGGAATTAAGACTAAAAACGTGGGGAAAATGAAAAACTTTGAACTTGCAAAACTGCAAGTGAGCCATGAGACAATGCCAACTTAAACTTACCAGGATGAATGGGTGGAATATCCATAGCAGGTCTACCTGATATCATTCGTGGATCCATGTATGATTGCATCATGAGCCACCTTGGATCAAAACCCATAGAAGCCAAATGCTGAGGGTGAGGCTGCATGGCCTGGTAAAGAGGTCTGTGTGGTGGTGGAGGGACAGCACCACTGGATGGCTGTGAAGGAACCGTTTGTGGAAGTACACCTTGCTGCTGCTGCTGCTGCCACTGCTGCTGTTTCATCTGTTCCTAAAAAAAGCAGGACCCTACATCTGAGACTTTAGTTCCATGTGATAAATTAATATAATCAATCAGAAAACAGGCTTTTTTGAAACCTTGAGGGAAAAGAATTCCAAACACATTTGACAGTGAGAGGTGGCAAGACAAAAGAACAAAGAATAAGTTATGACATTTTGCCTTACACGTGACTTAAGCAACTAATCACTCATTAATTATACTGCAGAAACCACTTCCTAGAAAGGAAGATGGTTTCTATAAATGAGGCAGACGGAAAAAAGGAACGACACAGAAGTTTCACAGTAAAGCCCTTATCAACAAACTTTTACTAATTTAAAAGGAGGAAATTTTTCAGGGAAAATTTGTATGCTTTGTGTATTTTGAGTTTTATGTCAAATTATTTCTTATACTACTGAACAATAAACCTTTTTAATCACACATACAAGATAAAATGTTTTTATTGTTACCTGCTGCCGCTGGAATCGTGGTGGTAAAGACTTCTGAAACTGTTTAAAATAGCCAGATAATATAGCAGGCCGAGGCTGAGACCCTGATTCTGGTTCTGTTTCATGTGCTGCTTGTGTGGTCTCTTTTTCACTGCGATTGTTATCTTGTCTACTGAAAACTGGGTCATCCTCTGCCCAAAGAAAAGGTGAAAGATAATTATACTCATCAACAACGCTTGACAAATACATGTTGTTTGTACTGGAGTGAAATAATTAGATTGATATATTTGAAAAGTTAACAAGGAAGAAAGCATCCTTATTCTAAAACACTTTTGTATTTTAATATTGGTAACCATCAATGAGGTAACATTAGATTAACAAAACCCTAGACTTTCTAAAGCTGGATTCTTAAGACAGAAATCACATGCCCAAATGCTTTACCATACAAATGTCTGTATTTGATACTTTGTGATAATAAACCATTTCAAATACTACCTATTTTGCACTGTTTCACTATATATTAACACTACTGTCAAAATTTACTTGGGGTTCTCTAGGACTTAGGTGAAAACACAAATGGCCTATAAATACTTAAAATAGAACACACTGGTTTACTTAAAAATTTTTTTGATCAGGAGATGTTATCTATAAAGAAAACTAATGAATCTAAGTCTGATGACAACAGTGATCACCAGCTATCTTCAAATATATAAATCATTATTCTGTGATATATCTGAAGATAGATGGTGATCACTCTGCTGTCATCAGAGTTTAAAATCATTATTTTATGTAAAGGGTATCAATTATGATACACGAGAAGGAGAATCATACACATCCCCCCCCACAAAAAAAGTTCTCATCCCAAAGAAAACCAGAGCCATATACATTTTAGAGAATGCCATTTGTCACAACTACAAAGCCATGCATATTATAAATTCTTTTCTCAGATAATTAGGGGTGGATTTTAATGGGAAAGCTAATGTAATGCCAATGGTAAAACGATGGAGTAAAGAATCACAAATCACATTTTGTATTACATTCAATATTAAAAATGCTAAAAAAATAAAATATTAGAGAGAAAAGAGAGCCAAGTAGGTGCAACATTTAAAAATGAAATGGGTAGGGCCTCCCTGGTGGCGCAGTGGTTGAGAGTCCGCCTGCCGACGCAGGGGATACGGGTTCGTGCCCCGGTCCGGGAGGATCCCACATGCCGCGGAGTGGCTGGGCCCGTGAGCCATGGGCGCTGAGCTTGCGCGTCCGGCAGCGGGAGAGGCCACGACAGTGAGAGGCCCACATATCGCAAAAAAAAAAAAAAATGAAATGGGTACATCTCATGATAAACCCAGCTAAAATTAAACTGCCATCAGAAGACATATAAAATGTGAATGAAAATAAAAGTGTCACTAAATAACGATTATTAAAAACAAAACCATAATTAATTATGTATATATAGTGGCTGCTGACGGTTAAATTAATTAATCAGGGTCATTACATGTATTCACTGGCAGAACTAGGACTAAAATGAATTTCCTTATTTCTAATCCATGGTCCTTTCTCATTAACTGTGAATGAGATTCCCTAAGGTTGTTCTCTTTCAGAATTCATCAATTTTAAAGTATACAAATGTTTTTCATTTCTGTGGTGAGAAATTTTACTTTACCTTTTTTGAGTGTTTTGAGCAAAGTGCTTAAGATATATAATAAAAGCCCAATATCAACTTATCTCTAGACTGCTTAATATAAAAATTTGTGAAATCTGGTAACTAAACAAATAATCCACATGGGCTGTATCTTATTTTTTTTAAAAATTGAGATAAAACACTCTTACTCTTTTTATAGTTACCTTAAGGACCAAGTTTGAAGGTAACCCAGAATATAGATAAAAACTTAAAGCAAAACTTTAAACAGCTTTATAACTTCAAGCAGCAGGGTCTTATAGAAAGAGCATGGGTTTTGAGGTAAAAAAAATTTCAGTATTTCCGTAACAGAAAATATACTGAAATAAAACTATTTCTATTTTAAATCACTGTTAGCTCAAGCTATTCATTAAGACTGAATTTTACAGCAAGTTTGGAGCAAAGTTTTATTAATTAGAGGTTATAAGCCAAGTTGGGAAAGAAAAAAAAAGCTGATTATAGCTAGCAAAGGCTTTGGGGTTTTTTTTTTGGCAGCGCTGTGTGGCTTGCAGGACCTTAGTTCCCCAATCAGGGGTTGAACCCATGTCCCCTGAGGTAGAAGCGCGGAGTCTTAACCACTGGACTGCCAGGGAAGTCCAGCAAAGGCTCTTTTCAAAAAGCATAATTACTGTCTGGTAAGCATATAAATGACCTACGGAAGCTTTTCTATTCCCACTGGTAGAAAAACAAATATGAAATTATGAACTGAGTACAGTCATTTAATTATGACAACCCAAAATTCCCATTAACCTCTATTCAACTTAAGTTTTAGAGGTATTAACACATGTGAACAAATGAGATTTTATTTAGTAGTTAAATGTCTTGGAATCAGAAAAGAGTAGAAGAATCAGCATCTCTTAACTATGAAGCTAATACAATTTTGCAGACAAAATAGAATTAAAGGTCATCTAACTATATGGTATCTACAATAAACTCAATTTAGATCCAAATATGTAAATAAATTGAAAATGAAAAGATGGACAAAGATAGTCCATGGAAACAGTAACCAAAAGAGAGCAGGGTGGCTACACTAACATGAGACAAAATTGACTTTATTTTTTATTTATTTTTTTTGTGGTATGCGGGCCTCTCACTGTTGTGGCCTCTCCCGTTGCGGAGCACAGGCTCCGGACGTGCAGGCTCAGCAGCCATGGTGCACGGGCCCAGCCGCTCCACGGCATGTGGGATCTTACCGGACCGGGGCACGAACCCATGTGCCCTGCATCGGCATGCGGACTCTCAACCACTGCGCCACCAGGGAAGCCCCAAAACTGACTTTAAATCAAAGAAGTTTTACAAGAGATAAAGTAATTAAATACTAATAAAAGGTTCAATACTGCAAGATACAACAATTATAAAACATTTATACACCTAGTAACAGACCATCAAAACATATGAAGCAAAATACTGACAGAATTAAGGGGATAAATAGTTGCACATTAATAGTCAGAGGCTTCGGTCTTCCCTGGTGGTTCACTGGTTAAGAATCCACCTACCAGTGCAGGGGACACAGCCTCGAGCCCTGGTCCAGGAAGATCCCGCATGCTGCAGAGTAACTAAGCCCATGTGCCACAACTACTGAGCCTGCGCTCTAGAGCCCGTGAACCACAACTACTGAGCCCATGTGCCTAGAGCCTGTGCTCCACAACAAGAGAAGCCATCACAGAGAGAAGCCTGCGCACCACAACGAAGAGTACCCACAAGCTTGCTGCAACTAGAGAAAGCCCGTGCGCAGCAACGAAGACCCAACGCAACCAAAAATAAACAAACAAATTTATATATATAAAAAAATAGAGGCTTCAACATTCCAATCCCAATAATGGCTAAAATAGCCACACAGAAGATAAATAAGGAAAAAGAGGACTTAATAAACCAACTAGATCCAACAGACATATACAGAACACTCTACCCAAAAACAGCATACACATTTTTCTCAAGGGACATTTCCAAGATAGATCACGTTAGGCTACAAATCAACTCTCAAGAGTTAAAAAGATAGACATCATATAAAATATTTTCTCTAACCACAATGGAATGAAGTTAGAAATCACCAGAAGTAAACCTGAACAATTCACAAATCTGTGGAAATTAAGCAATATACTCTTTAACAGCCAAAAGATCAAAAAAGGAAGTGCAAGGGAAATTGGAAAATACCTATTAGATGAATGAAAACAAAAGCACAACATACCAAAACTTCTGGGATGCAGCAAAAGCAAAGCAAAGAGGGAAATTTATAGCTATAAATGCTTACATAAAAAACAGGAAAGCTCTCAAATCAGTAACCTAGAGTTACGACTTCAGGAATGAGAATAAGAAGAACTAAACCCAAGGTTACTAGAAGGAAATAAAAATCACAGCAGAGATCAAGAAAATAAGAGAATAGAAAAATAGAGAAAAATTAATGAAAACAGAAGTTGGTTCATTGACAAGATCAACAAAATTGACAAATCTTTAGCTGGGGTGGGGAGGGGGTGAGCTAAGGAAAAAAGAAGACTGAAATTACTAAAATTAGAAGTGAAAATGGGGACAATACTACCAATTCTACAGAAATAAAAAGGATTATGAGTGAATTATGGACAATTGTACACCAACAAACTAGATAACCTAGATGAAATGTACAAATTCCTAAAAACAAAAAATCTACCAAGACTAAGTCACAAAGAAATAGAAAATGTGAATAGACTTTTAACTAGTAAGGAGACTGACTTGGTAATCAAAATTCTCACGACAAAGAGAAGCCCTGGACTTGATGGCTTCACTGGCGAATTCCACCAAACATTTAAACAAATAACATCAATTATTCTCAAACTTTTCCAAAAAACTGAAGAGGAGGGAACACTTCCTAACTCATTTACAAGGCCAGCATCACCTTGATACCAAAGCCAAACAAGAACACTACAAGAAAACTACAAATATCTCTTATGAACACTGATGCAAAAATTCTCGACACAATACTAGAAAACAGAATTTAGCAGTACACCGAAAGTGTTATACACCGTTTACCAAGTGGGATATATTCCTGGGATGCAAGGATGGTTTAACATACAAAAATCGATCAATGTATTACATACTGACAGAATGAAGGGAAAGTAATACATCATCATCACAATTAACACAGAAAAGGATTCGACAAAATTCATCATATTTTTATGATAAAAATACTCAAACTAGGAACAGAAGGAAACTACCTCAACAGAATAAAATCCACTTATGAGACACCCACAGCTAATACCACACTCAATGTTGACAGACAAAGCTTTTTTTGTAGGATCAGGAACAAGACAAGGGTGCTTCCTTTTGCCACTTTTATTCAACTTAGTACTGGATAATTTTGAGGGATTCAACACTGCAGTGGAGGAAGTAACTGCAGATGTGGTGGAAACAACAAGAAAACTAGAATTAGAAGTGGAGCCTGAGATATGACGGAATTGCTGCAATATTACAATAAAACTTGATAAGGAGCTGCTTCCAATAGATGAGCAAAGAAAGTGGTTTCTTGAGATGGAATCTACTCCTAGTGAAGATGCTGTGAAGTCTGTTGAAATGACAACCAAGGATTTAGAACATTATTACATAAACTTAGTTGGTGAAGCATTGACAGGGTTTGAGAGAATTGACTCCAATTTTGAAAGAAGATCTATTGTGGATAAATGCTATCAAACAGAATGGATGTTACAAAGAAATCATTTGTGAAAGGAAGAGTCAATCGATGTGGCAAACTTCACTGTTGTCTTATTTTAAGACATTGCCACAGCGACCCCACCTCAGCAGCCACCACCCTGATCAGTCAGCAGCCATCAACACTGAGGCAAGACCCTCCCTCACCCCCACAGCAAAAAGATCATGGCTCACTGAAGGCTCATTGATGGCTAGCATTTTTAGCAATAAAGTATTTTTAAGTTAAGGTATGTACATACAGCATATATATATTCTTAGACAGAATGCTACTGCACACTTAATAGTCTACAGAATAGTGTAAACATAACTTTTATATGCACTGGGAAACCAAAAAATTCATGTGACTTGCTTTATTGCCATATCTGCTTTATTGCAATGGTCTGGTACCCAACCTGCAACATCTCTGAGGTATGCCTGTGCTCAAAATAAAAGAAAGCACAGTCTCAAAGAGATAGCTACACACTCACAGTCACATCAGTGTTATTTAGAATACGTAAAACATGGAATCAACCCAAGTGTCCATCAACAGATTGGGTAAGCAAAATGTGGTGTGTGTGTGTATTTATATGATGATTAGTAGCCTTAAAAAGGAAGGAAATTCTGTAATATGCTACAATGGACGAAACTTAAGGACATTATGCTAAGCAAAAAAAGCCAGTTACAAAAAGACAAATACTGTATGATTCCACTTACATGAGGTACTGAGAATAGTCAAACTCACACAGAAAGAAAGCAGAATCACCATCCAGGGAGAGTTACTGTTTAATGGATACAGAATTTCAATTTAAGAAGATGAAAAGAGGGGCTTCCCTGGTGGCGCAGTGGTTGAGAGTCCGCCTGCTGATGCAGGGGACGCGGGTTCGTGCCCCGGTCCGGGAAGATGCCACATGCCGCGGGGCGGCTGGGCCCGTTAGCCATGGCTGCTGAGCCTGCGCGTCTGGAGCCTGTGCTCCGCAACGGGAGAGGCCACAAAAGTGAGAGGCCCGCGTACCGCAAAAAAAAAAAAAAAAAAAGATGAAAAGAGTTCTGGAGATGGATGGTAGTGATGGTTCATTATGAATGTTTTTAATACCACTGAACTGTACACCTAAAAATGGTTAAGATGCTAAACTTTATGTTACATGTATTTTATCATAATAAAAAAAATTATAGAAAAAAACATTTTAAAGTATCCAATAAAATTCAACCTTATCCAAAAAACACTAATCACTTTTATTCGGATGACATATTTTAAAAATAAAAAAAATCCAATATCCACATGTAACATGAAGCCTTTTGTAAAGCTTATATAAAGACAAACAAGACTATCATACCTTTGTTACAGCTGTTTTCACTTTCTGGTTTTTCTACCATAGGCTCTAAAGTAGGTTCTTTGTGTTCAATTTTTTCCTCCACTTTCTCCCTTTCTTTCTTCTCCAACTCACATTCCTTTTCCTGTTCTTTCATCTTCTGCAGTTCTTTTTCCTTTTCTTGCTGCCGTTCTAGTTCTTTCTCTTTTTCTTGCTTTCTTTCCTTCTCCATTTCTCTCTGTATTTCCTGCTCTCGCTCCAGTTCTTTTTCCTTCTCCTGTTGCCTTTCCCTTTCTTTTTCCTGCTCCTTCTCTCGCTCCCATTCTTGTTCTTTTTCAAGTTCTTTCTCACGTTCCCGTTCCTTTTCCCGTTCTTTTTCTCGCTCCCTTTCTCTAATTTCCTCTGGAGAGGGTTGTTTGTCCACTATACCAAGCTTTTCGTCTAATCGTTTAAGCTTCTCTGCACATGCTGCTTTCCTTTGCTCTTCCATTCTTCGCTCTTCCTCTTCACGCCGTTTACGAGCACGTTCCACTGCTGCAGAAAGTTCTGACTGTTGTCTTCTTCTTTGCTTCCATATTTCATCTTCATCCGGGACCTGTTGCTTAGGGGGGAAAGGGCCTGGTCTTCCAGGTACTGCCTGTCGGTCTGGAGGAGGATGCTGAAACATTAAGATAAATTATCACATGAGTATGACAACAAAGGATATATCATAGACATGGAGCAGGAGCAAAATTCTCCAGTGTGTCAGAAATTTTCCTGAAAAACATACACGTTAAAATGTAAACAAGTAACAATGTGGGGGAAATAGTAAATCTAGTTAATTTTCGAGAATAATTAATCCAGCCATCTAATAAATATTTACTGAGTGTGTACCTATTTACTGTGCCAGACATTATTGCTCACTCAGTATTTGTTGAATAAAATTAGAAGTTGTCACAACATGAATTTCAAAATCTAAATTTAGAGACAAAGGAAATTTAGAATGTGAGTGCTTTAGCAGGAACTTCCAGAGATGGAATGCCTAAAGAGGGAGAAAAGAAGTCCATAAAGATGCAACATGGCACCACATGAGCCCTGAGAAGATTGAGATACAGTTACAAGGAAAGAGCACACAGTCAAAGATGCTAAGTGAAGGACATGGAGACATTGCTGCTGCTCACATGCCAAAGGAGAGGAAATTCCTAAAAAGCAGCTTGGGTAGAGAGAATTCTATCTTTCAACTGAAAGATCCAAAAAGGCGTATTCCATGGTGGAGAATGGGAGGATGACCTCAGAGGCAGAGTTTTAATGATTTAATTTTCAACTAACGTGTTCTAAAACAATTACTACAAAGCCTAAAAATGCCAGCAACTTTGCAAAGACAAGCAGGATGAAAAAAAGCACATGAAAAGCTGCAATATCAAGGAACTAAAAAATTTGTTTAAAAAATATTGATTTTGGAGACTTCTGTAGTGGCGCAGCAGCTAAGAATCCGCCTGTCAGTGCAGGGGACACAGGTTTGAGCCCTGGTCTGGGAAGATCCCACATGCCATGGAGCAACTAAGCCCATGCGCCACAGCTACTGAGCTTGCGCTCTAGAGCCCACATGCTGCAACTATGAGCCCACACACCGCAACTACTGAAGTGCACGTGCTCTAGGGCCCACGTGCCACAACTACTGAGTCCATGTGCTGTAACTACTGAAGCCTGAGCACCTAGAGCCCGTTCTCCGCAACAAGAGAAGCCACCGCAATGAGAAGCCCGTGCTCAGCGACGCAACCAGAAAAAAAGATTTTTAATAGTATTAAGGTGAAGAAACCTTAAAAGCCATTAGTCAGAATCCCTACAGAAGAGAAAATAATGATATGGTGAAAACACTGGATTGAATACTAAAAACAAAAAACCCAAACAAACCATGAATCCAGACTACCATTTACTAACAGTGCTGTCTTAGGCAAACTGTTTAATCTCTCTGGTATTTAGTTACTTCATCTATAGCTTGAAAGACAAGCTGCAAAAACAAAGTAATTATATAAACACACCTAATTTACACTGTAAACTCAGAGTAAGCATTTTTTAAAAAGCAACTTCACTGAAGTATAATTTACATAAAATGTGATATATATATTTTAACTGTATAGTTTGATGAGTTTGGACAAATGATAAACTTAGGTAACTACTGCCCCAGTCAACATATAGAGTATTTTCATCAGTCCTCTGCCTGCATCCCTGACCTCAAGCAACCAGCAATCTACTTCTGGCAGTATAGAGTAGATCTGCCTTTCCTAAAATTTCACAAAAATGGATACAACGTTATATTCTGTTTTGTATCTGGCTTCTTGCGTTCAGGGTAATGGTTCTGAGGTCACTGTGTAGCAGGAGTTTACTCCATTCTATTGCTGCATAGTATGGCATCATAGGCATACTGTTTCATCTGTGGATGAACATACGGATTGCTTCTAGTTTTTTTTGTTGTTGTTTTGTTTTTTTGCGGTACACGGGCCTCTCACTGTTGTGGCCTCTCCCGCTGCGGAGCACAGGCTCCGGACGCGCAGACTCAGCGGCCATGGCTCACGGGCCTAGCCGCCCCGCGGCATGTGGGATCTTCCCGGACCGGGACACGAACCTGTGTCCCCTGCATCGGCAGGTGGACTCTCAACCACTGCGCCACCAGGGAAGCCCGCTTCTAGTTTTTTTTTAACTAGAAATAAGACAGCTATGGTCATTCATGCCTAAGTCTTTGGGTAAATGCATGTTTTCATTCCTCTTAGATGAATACCTAAGAGTGGAACTGCCAAGTCACAGAGTAACTATGTGTTTCACTTTATAAGAAACTGCCAAACTGTTTTCCAAAGTGATTACAAGGTTTTATAGCTCCACGAGCAATATATGAGGGTGTCACCTGCTCTGCATCCTCCCCAATATTTGGTGTCATCAGCCTCTTAAATTCTGGATGTGTAACAAAATTTCAATGTGGTTTTACTTTTCCATTTTCCTGCTG